CCCCACGGAGCCTTCATCCTCCCCCTGCCACCCCTGCGCCCGCCTGCCTGCTCCCTCCTGCATGCGTGGGACGGGAACCCCGGCCCCAGCGAGGCTGGGGAGACTTCGTGGTTCTCTGCTCAGGCACAATCGGGATTTCAGCACTATGTTTCAAAGGCAAGATATGTTATTTTAAATAAATATTTTAAAAAAAAAGTAAATACAGGTATATATTTTTAACTTAGATTGCACGCAAGGCAGATGACCTCCACCTACAAAGGAGCCTGGGCTGTCACGTGCTGCCTCTTGAACACAAATCCACAGCCTTGATGCTCATGAGTACAATTTTTTGTCATAATAATAGCTTTGTTTCATTTTACTTCATAGTCTTTCATTTTTCTTCCTCAAAAGAGCTGCTGAAAACATCTATTTATCTGTACGTAGTTCTCTTTCTGACATTTACTCAGCTAAAAGTTTGGTCAGGAAAAACAGCAGATCTTGGTCTGATAAAGTTCAATTGCAGAAATAAACAGGAACCAATTTTTTTGTTTACCAGGAAATCCCACCACTTAGATACATTTTCACTTTGAAATGAAGCACACTTCAAAATTTCATGTAAAATGAATTTTGAAAAAGTAGTTTTGAGTTAAGGGAAACACTTAACTTAAAAATATTTCACCACCACAGGGTTCTGTTCTTTAAACCTTTTTAAAATTCCATATTAAAAAGTCACTTACTCTGAAAAGTAGTTTTGGAACAACTTTCATTCTGAAAATGTCAAAAATGTCATTATTGAAATGCTTAGTTTCAGATGTTTTCAAAATGATATCTTATCAAAATCAATTCATAGTTCAAAACATTTAGGTCTTGATGAACTCCCCCCAGCATCTTTATGAAGCAGGGAAACAACACTCAGCCAGATGTGTTCAGTGAGGCCTTGAGATGTTTCCCATATTGAAATATCCTCAATAAAATCTAAAAAAGGAATTAACATAATTTGAGAAGAAATGTTTCTAAACAAAGCAGTCTTTCAGAATCTGAAGTTGAGCCTAATAATCTTGCACTTTGTATTCAACTAATATCCTTTGTCTGAGCAGCTCTGAATGTTTTAGATAAATCTCTCTTTATTCACATTTGTTTGCCTTCCTACAATTTAGAGGCATAAATTTCTCTACAGTCTGATCCTAAGATACCAGTCATAAGAAAATATGCTTAAATAATGTGTGTACCTTTGCTCGGAAGCATATTTATCTGAACAGGGCTGCTTTTTTGCATCAAGGCTTAAGCTCCACTATAGTGCTTTGAAGTGACGATATCTCTATTTTACAGGTGGGGAACTTGAGGTAGGGTGTAGCCCAAACATACCTTTTGCCAGTCAGGAGCAAAACCCCCACCTTCTGATGGGGTTAATGCAAATCCAGTACAAAAGCACTTTAGCAAGGATGGTTTTTAAAATGTCAGCTCAAGCTGGTAGGTGGTGATGATTTTTTTTTCTGAAAATGAACTGGTTAAGTTGTGGAAAGTAAACTTAATGCTCAGGGTGTCATGCTTAAAAAGCCTTTTATAACATGACTAACTTCTGGCGTTAGCATATGGCTCAAGCGCACTTTGTCCTATACTCCCCACTATAGTCAGTGGTACGCTCAGCAAACCTGTTTTTAGAGAATGACTGTGTGGCTGCCTCTCCTTAACAATTTTCCACCTCTGAGTTATCATTTAGAGGCTGGAAGGGAAGACCTGGATGGCTAGTGAATCCAGCATCTTTTCCAGCTGCTCTGGGTAAAGTTGTTATTGCATCTGGAACCTAGGATCTAAGTGTTGGGGTTTGTTTTTTTGGTTGGTTGGTTTTTTGTTTATTTTTGTTTGGCTTTTTGGTTGTTTTAAAAAAAACCCAAACAAATAAAGAACCCCCCCCCAAACAACAACAACTATTTCTCTTGCAATAGATGTAAGCAGAAACCTTTTAAATACAAATAGCTGCAGTCTAGCAGCCCCATCCAACAGCTACCCTGAAACTGCAGCTCTGGAGCAACTGAGTTGCAAACTCTCCAGCAGTGGTGATTTAACATTGCTATTTTACTCCTGAGCAAGGAAACTCAAAAAAGAGGGGGACCGGGATATTATGATGGTCTACAGTGGGAGGTTCAGCTCTGTCAGAGAAGTATGTTGAGCTGAGTTATCTGGTGCGAGGGGAAGGGGATGACCTAGGTCTTCCTCCTGCCACACCCCAGTTCCTGGCCTTGCTGGCTTGCATCCGCTGCTTCCACTGCACCAGGGATTTTCTTGGCACACCAGATGGTTTAATTGTTGTTGTAACCTGGCACAGAGGAGCTGCTTTGCTTGCTCTCCAAAATGCAGCTCTGACACAAGCATGCAGGCAAGGGTGATGCACAGCCCCTTGCTTCCAGCTGGAACCAGAATTTTTAACTGTGGGAAAATGGGAGTTTGAGAGCGGTTGGGGGTTCTGGCCAAAATCCTAAGGAAACCAGGCAGAAAGTTTTTAAGTTTACCAGCTCTCAGGATGGTGGCTTTGCATCCCTCTGGGATCTCTGCTTGGACCATGAGCTAGTGCTAGCTCTGGGGAAGTGCTGCATGGGGCACCAGGAAGATGCTTTGGGTTTCTCTTGGGGTCAGAGAAGCCCCTGCCCGGCACGTCGCAGCTCCAGCCAAGAGACCTGGTGCAGGTTCCCAGGGACCTATAGGCACCTGGTGCCAGAGGGGAGCGTGTCCGCACCGGTGAGGAGTGCCAAGGAAGCTATGCTGAATGCTTGTGTTAACACCTTGGGAAACTGTGATTAAAGTCTGATCAGTGAGTGGAACTCCGTCTGTGCCATCTGGTTGTCTGTCTCGCGCAGGTTTACAACCGCAAGATTATTTAGGAGTGCAATCTACAGGCAGAGACTGGTTTAGAAATAAAAGAGCATCAAACCATTTGTTTGAGTTGAAATCAAAGTCCCTATATAAAAAAACCTTTAAAACTTAAATAGACCAAAGAATCACTCTATAATTATAATGTTAGAAAAATGAGATCATTCAGGAATGACATTGACCATATTTCTTCAAATAGTATAAGGAATTAAAAGTACCTCGGGTTGGCAGTTGATTCTTTTTCTTCTTCTCTTACAGTAGGCAAACATTCACAGTCAGCTGAAAAAGGATAAGAAACCAAACTATAGTTACTCTTGGCAGTTATTCTCCATTTATTTCGAAATTGCATCAACTTTTCTGGTGCAGTTTCTCTAGAATGTAAAACTGCAGATGCTACTCTGCACCCTTTTATCTGTAATCAGCATAGTCCACATAGCATAAATGTCACGTGTTTTAAATCCTCCTTACCTTTGATAGGTGTTGCTGTAATTTCTTTATTACATATATTTCAGTTGTTTGTGTACACCTATATAAATGAACTACTTCTGAGGACCGTTTCCCATAAACTACCCTGGGGAGGACTATTTGTTAATCTTCCACTGCTTATAGTTGCACCTATGCTTTGTAGTCCAGCTGGGAATTTGGGGCTGGGGTTTAGGGAACACTAACAAAAAAAGCCCTATATGTAAACTATTTGCTCCCTTCTGTCCACAGAATTTAAAAAAATATTTTACAGCGCTATTTCCCCGTGTACTATACTTAATGCCTCTATTTCACTACTGCTGCTTAGCACATGTTTTCTGCTAGAGCTTACGGACCGCGAAGGTCAAAACCCCATCATGTGGAGCACTGTGCTAACACAAAGAAATGCTCCAAAGAGTTTTATGTCCTGAAAACCAAAGCATCCCTAGGAGGTCAGGCAAATGAGCCATTTGGAAACAAGGCAAGGGACCAGGAATGAAAAAAGTATCAGGGTTTCAGCATTTTGTAGCCAGTGAAAAGCTGTTAGCAGTTCAAAATCAGGCCTCGGTTAATTTACACTGTACCAAGGGCCTGCATTTTTTGAGAAGAGCCTTGAAGGAGGATGCAGGGCCCTTAGAGATTTTGACTGGGAGATTTCAGTTGGCGGGAAATGGGGGAAAAAATACAAGGTACTTAGAAGTAGCTAAGAAGGAGCTGAAGATGCTGCTGGTGGTAGTTACCGCAGGTACTAATTGCTCCACGGGCTGAGGGACTTGCCGGAGAGGATGTAGATGTCGAACGGTGCTGGCAACAAAGAGCAGCTTGTGTTTCATGCGGTAGAGATGGCGAGTGAGGGAAAGGACATGGAGAGGGGAGGGATGTATTCATAGGATCCTGGCAACAATTTTAAGTAAACAGTGGTCTGAACTATGAGTAAATGCATGTTTCTTCTACAAGAGCACAATGTGGAGCACAGAACTGTAGAAACTCTGAAGACTGAAAGGACTAGATGCTTCAGAGGAACTAGTATTTAGCATTAAAAATGTGTACTTAAAAATATAAATACCATTCACAGCTATACGTGAGCTTAATAGAAGTGTCTACTGGAAACTCAAAACATTTATGATATTCCATCACATGTTAAAAATAAGCTCCCACGCAAACTAAAATACTCCTCTGAACAATTCTACCCTGACATTTGTGCTGCTATTTTAGTAGCAGGGAGTCAAGAACACAACTAAAAATGTTGTAGGAAAAGCAGTGACACACACGCAAAATGCCTTACATTGATTTTCTACGCATGGGATCTACGTCAGCTAGAAAGAGAGGGATGATGGAGTAGAGGGGTTACTGTGTACCATTTTTGTTCATGCTGTTCATCCATTTATCAAGCTCTTCCATTTCTATCTCCATAACAGAGGGCGTGTCTTCTTCAAAAATAGGACTTGAGAGGAAGGGGAAAAAAAAAAGGCATTACACAAAATGCTGAATTCAGACAACTTAAAATGTAGTAATTTTGTATCAGTCTTTCATCATTCCAGACACATAGATAAACTCTGGAAAACATCCTAGCCTAGTCATCTGAGAAGATGTCAGCCCAACAGGTGTGAACAAAATGCCTGCAAACAGATGCCAAGGAGCGGCGGCGAGGTGCCGGTCCTGCGCAGAGGTAGGGCTGGCCGGCACATCACGTGCAGAGGGACTCCGATGGTGCAGTCGGGGGTGTGCAGAGCACAGGACCACTCCAGCTATTTGACAACTGTCTCTACTGTAAATAGAAAACTGAAAAACAAAATAGTTTGTCTCTGCCCTGCTGGAACACATGGCAAAAGTTCCGTTGCTCCAGTGATAAAAGCAGAGGGCCTGAAGTTTCGTCCTAGCTGTGACTGACATTGGCAGTGACTTCAAAAGGAAAGGTCATGATCAAGTGCCTCTGCATTTATGTAAATGCCTCCATTTAGCTTCCCTTTGCTGATCGTTCCCAGAGTCACACGGTAGAAAAAATATTTTTAGCAAAACCCTCTTTTTTCCCCCGTTAAGCCAATTTAATAACTTCCAGCATTGATTAGCAGGATGGAGCTCATAAAAGGTAACAATAAAAATTATCACTCTGATAAAAGCCACACAGCTTTTGGCTTGTTTTCCCAGCAGCTGGGCGAGCCTTTCTGCCTCACCTCAGAGTGAGAAGACAAACTTGAAAAACAGGGGATCAAGACACAGAGCTTATTCCAAATAGTAAAAGCCTGTGATGAGCCTGGGAACTGATCCCCTTTGCTCATGGGGCACCTTGTATGTCTTGTGGAATCTTGCGGCTGGGGGGGGCAGGGGGGCCGCGAG